TTTAATTGTCGTCCCATTCTGACGCGTCGAATCATCCCCTAAAATATTCATCGCCTGTAACGAAACACCCTGTCTATGTTTGTATATTTATATTTTTTCTTAAGCACTCCGTAGTCGAATGTTCTCATTAACGAGAATTTTATTCGACGGGTCATTTCCTTTATCCCTTTCTTTTTCCACGGCGCGGACATTTCATCGTACTCGCGATCCTCCATCCCTTATTCCGGCGTAAGCTCGGTAATTCCCGAACAATTCTGTCTCGTCTGCTATCTTATTCTTTCACTGTCCAATTTCTTTTCCCTTGAAACAATTCTTTACCCCGGAAAAGGATGAATGGGGATTTCTCGCTGGGCAAAGAGAAGACGAGAGAGAGGCCCGCCTTTGAAGCGACGCGGTGTCTCCGCGCGCGTATTAGACCGTGCAAGCTTACGAAATAATGGACTTTGTTATTAAGTTTAATTAATCGCACTGGGTCACTGTACCCTGATAAAGTAAATTTTTCTAATATAACTTTGCAATTTGCCACGGGTAATGGAACGCAATATAACTCGCTGCGTCAGCGATGCACAACCTTTCGCCACCCTTCGCGAAATAAAGTAAAATAACATTTTTCGCAGCACAGGAATTTCAAAATAAAGTAAAGATTCTCGTGGTCGAACGAGTCGTTTATTTATCTACGAGATAAATTTTTCATCCATTGTCGGTTACCTTCGGTTAATAAAATATTGGCTGACGATAGAAAAACAGAGGGCAAAGTAGCGTAAGGTGTAATTTAACGAATACCAAATATGGAAACTTATAATTAACGAGGCAAAGACAAAGACTTTAAACGAATTCTTTCTCTCGAAAGTAAAAACATTGGAACGTTTATTCAATAGTTGTTGGGTTAAGCACCGTAATGGAACAAAAGATTTATGTATGTTCTAAGGTTTGTTAACGAACTCCTTTTCTACTGGCTTCTTGAGATTGAGAAAGTGTGTCAAGACTTGCATTGCTTTCCAATGACGTTGTATTAATTAAGAACATTCAAATATTTAACCAGAAACAATCAAACTATCAAACATTTACTTAGAAATATTCAGAAAATTCGAAACTTGGGTTTCAAATTAACAAACATTCGGTAAGAATCAATTCAAACTGTTCTCTGGTGACAGACTCTGAGAATGAATTAAAACTTTCAACTAGAAACATTTAAACATTCATACGTTCATTTAGAAATTTCAAGTATTCAAGACGCACTGAAACGTTTCATTTTAATTATGCAAACATTCAATGAGAACGAATTCAAACTTTCATTGGAAACACGTGCAATCTTCCGACTAACAGTGTTTAAAAATTCAAACGTTTAAACAACAACATTCAAAGATTCTTCCTGAGATCGTTCAAACATGCAACGGAAGCCATTTAAAGTTTCAAACGTTAAGCTAAGAGCATTAAACCATCCAACGAGGAACGTTCAAACATTTAGCAAGAATATAGTTCCAAAACATATAAATATTCTATTTTTTATTTTAACGTTCCGCCCTGTTGTAATTCATAAAAATATTTCATAGTTCAAAATGGCGGTCGCTCGTTCGAGGATTCAGGATATTTTTTTAAGATTTTGCACGAATAATTCTTTTGTCTTGTCGATACCCGTGAATCGGATTTCCCGGAAACATCAAATTTTTTTTGTCGATCGATAACGAATAATAAAATTACACGCAAGCTGTGTTTTTTCATAGAAATTCGTTAGCTGAAAATTCCGTAGCAGCGTGTTCTGTGCTCGCGGGGCGAATTGTCAGATCGAATTTTCGTCCTTTTTCTTTTACCCCCGGCTGGACGATCGAAACGGTTGTTACCGCGAGAGAAAACTCGATAATTTCGATTTCCTGCTCGATGTACATAAAACGAGCCGCGCTCCTGCGGAATTTCCTGTTTAATTTTACGCCGGCGATTTCCGTGAATTTTTCGATTATTTTCTTCGGGATCACGGTATCGAAACGAACCAAATTGAAAAATGTTTCCCGTCCGAAAATAGGAAAGGAAAATCAAGGAAAATTGATTAAATTTTCGCGGAACGCGAAATTGTTTTTTCAGTAGTTATTATACACGATCGTTTCTTGTTCTACCTATATATTAATTAAAAGAACATCCTTCGACCAATGTTAATGTTTCCACGAAATAAATTCCGTTTATTCCGCTGGATCTTTCCCTTGAATTTTTAAATTTCGCTGCAGCGGTATCTTTAGGACGGGAATATTAAGATCGCGTTCTAAAGTTATAACCTTCTTCTTATGAATCATGAATCGCGGGAGAATGAAAATGTTAAGCATCACGGAAAAATTCGGGAAAAATTATTCGAAGTGTATCTTCGCGATGAATAATCGAATTCCATATTTTGTCAGGTCAAGTGGACGCCATTAATGAAAATATATCTACCAAATATATATTTTACATACACTATATGCTTTATATTAAATTCATTTTTTCTGTAAGCTCGAGGGAAATGCAATTTCCGCCAAATTAAATGAACCTTCTAAATGCATAGAAAACTCGGTTGCATATTATTAACTAAAAGTTCAATGTTTTTTCATAAATTCGTAAAAGGTCGGGGCTCTTTCATTGAAACGGGGTATTAAAGCAAGCGTCGACAAAATTGCCTTGGAGTAAATAATTTTTGCGCAAATTAAACGGTCGTGGCATTAAATAAAAAACGAACTTTTGCAAACCCACGAAAATATGCTATTTTTTAAAATTCGGTTGCGTCAGAATAATAGACTAATAATAGACTCTGAATAATAGAAAATTCGTTTTTATTTTATTAAATTCAATATACCTTTCAGATACCCGGAAAATTCAATATCTCTTGAAAGAAGAAATTCGATTTGAAATTAGGTTAACGGGGGCTCGATATCGGCCGGAGTAAAGCGCATATTAACATTGCCAGCACGTAACGCTTTAGTGGCTAAATGTTATGCACGCGTATAATTAATGAATCGCAGTTCAAGTTTATTTAAGCGACGTTGTAAGCGCTCGCGTTCCGAAAATTGCGCCACGACTTTGACACAAAGTTCGCTTTTCAATATGGAAAAATAGCAATTTAGTTAGAAACCGTAGCAACTAAAATTAGACCGACACAGCAATTTAGTTTTGGAGTTTCCATTAATAGGAAAATTATAAATTGGGATATCTGAAAAATTAGCAATTCTTTCTTCTGCAACTACATTTGTTCATTGACGTATGTAAATCCACAGACGTAATGTTTATGACGCGAATCCATTGGCAAATCTAGGTCGAAGCGCCATAATTTTATTGCTTTGATAACCAATAAATCCGAAGTCGAAGAGCAAATAAATTGGATCTTCTTGGTACTGTATTTGACATTCTTACAATTACTTGGTAGCAAAGTAGCAGCTATAATTATTAAAAATATAATGGCTCTAATGCTGAAACGAAAAATCATATAAATATACTGGGTGACGACATCCCCTTTGGTAAGCTGACTGTTAAGTCCAACATGGAGGGTGGACCAAACGGCCGGGGGAAAAACGTCCACGAAAAACTCTATAATAGACTATCTGAACAGGGGATATGTTGTATCTGCACAAGTATATTTCACCGATCCATCATTCTTTCGTGAACGATATTAGGAGTTCCGATAAAGTGGAACTCTAATAACGAAAAGTTCCTGTTGCTCTTCGTATCAATGCGATATGCATGGAAAAGGTATCTCCATCGTATTTGCACGTTTTTCTTACTTCAATCTTGAAAACTGGTACCCTCGAAACTTGGTGAACCAATTCCATGCATACGTTCTGCTACTATACTTTCACCGAGAACGTTACACGTGTCTTTTATTGCTACAGCCGTCGCACTATTATTATTCCGGAATTCCCGCAATATTATACGACGCGTTGACATCTCCGTTTCCGTTACTACGTTCGCCGAAACCCTTTAAAGCAATGGTGAAAAGGGACTGCAGGTCGCTTGGAATTCCCAAAAAGTTTCAGGATCCAACCGAGCCAACAGCTACTTACGACTCGACCCAATAATTTAGCGCAACTTTCGAACACGGGATTTTCGGGGGAGAACGATTCGTTGGAGGAGGTTATAAGCGGAAAAACGCTGGCTTGTCGACCAGGGTATTACACGGCTCAGGGGTTCGGAAGAGCCGGGCCGCTCACAAAGCCAGGATTTCGCGCGCGCTAGGTCCAGTCGGGCGTTGTGTACAAAGAATTCGTCGAGGCCCGCGAGATTTACGAGATGAAAGGGACGCGACGGAGAGTTCTTCGCGACGAGTGCAACCGAATCTCGTAATTAACATTTTTATTTGCCTCGGTTGGCCTTCCACGGGATCGTCCCTCCGGTTCTTTTTGCTCCTACCGGCGACGGAAGTTTACCAAGAAACCGGAGGACGACGAAAGAAACCGGCGATATTGTCCGCGGAAGCGGTCGATTAGATAATTACTCGACCGTCGAGGACGGACCAGTTTCCGCTGAATCTTTCTATCTCCGGCAGTTTTCGCCGGAGACGGAGAAAAGAGAGAGACAGTGGGTGTCGGCGTTTCGTCTCACGGCGCTATTGTGCCCGGAACTTAGCCTTTTCGGGGCTTAATTAAAATCCTGAAGAAAGGAGTTTGTTTATTCTTCATCGTTCGTTCGTGAATCGAAGTTGATTCGCCCGTCACCACGGAAACGCGCGTCTTTCACCGATTTCGAGGATCTAGCGCCCCCCACCCTCGCGCAAACTTAACTCTCGCGTTGGCAACCATGCACCCCATTTCTATGTTTTCAGCGATATTATTTTATTTAAAAATAAAATTGTGCCAAAAGAAACTGGAGGGACGTTAAGCAATAAATTTGTTGAATGCAGTTTTTGTACCTTTAAAATGTCCTCTAAGAATAATTGTTGCCTTACGACCATTTTCGAGGAATTAGAATTAAAATGTGAAGTTAGAAACTCCTAAGGTTCTAGATGGCTCACACGACGGGTAATAATTATTAACGAATTTACTTACTCGTAGTAGGGATTTTGAGTTGTGGCAGCTACCAGGTAAAACATGAATTACAAGTATTTCTTACCTGCAACAGAAAAGAATGATGCGTTAAAGTACAGCTCTATGGAAAGCTTGAGGGTTCTTACGAGGAATAACGAAGAATCTTATTATATTATTCAAATTCAAGTAGCGATTCATTGGTGCTCTAAGCAGACATTCAACTAGGGATCCATAACTAATACCTTGATTAAGCACTGATTCAAAGCTTCCTAATCGTTCAACAAAAGAGCTTAATATCGTACATCCATCCAGATCTGTGGTTATCTAGTTGTGCAAACGGGAGTTCGAGACATTCTAACAATCCATCTTGGAATCTAGACAACCAGATGGTCCACATAGGGATGCATGAAATTCTAGCAGTACGAATAGAGATGCAAAACACTCCAAAGTTCCAGCTAGAGACCCCATGTTAACTTAATGGCCCAACTAGAGTCCTATGATAACCTAGTTGTTCGAGTGGAGAGCTATGCGCCTCTGGTTTTTCAATTAGGCATTCATACCTCGCTAGCCATTCGTCTAGTTACGTGTGACCCACTTGTGATTCAAGTAGAGGGCCAACTAGGGTTCCATGACTACCTAGTTGCCCAAATGCTGGTTCAAGATTCCCCGATGGTTCGGCCAAGGACCGCGACGTGAAAAATCTAACCAAATATTCGTGACTACCCGGTCATGCAAATGGGAGTACGGGACGCTTTAACAATCCGACCAGGAATGCAAACAACCCGGTAGTCCAAATAGGGATGCATGAAATTCTGACAGCACGGATAGAGATGCAAACACCTCAAAGCTCCAGCTAGAGCCCTATGATAATCTGATTGACCAACTGGAAAGCTATGTAGCTCTAGATGTCCAATTAGGAACCAATTTCTCTCTAACAATCCAACTATGTACCACATCTCTAGAGTTTCAACTAACGATCCGTGACTGCATAAATGTACCAGGCATTCTAACAATCCGTGTAAGCTATATATTATAGCGCACTTCGAATTGTTCAATTAGAAAGTCACACTTTGCTAACAACCAATCTGGTGTTGCATGTCCTCTAGTGGTCCAACTAGCGATTCTATTTCCAGAAGGCATGTAGACGCTGGTTCAACCAGAGTCTCGTAACAACCTAGTTGTCGAACAATAGACGTATCTATCTCTGGTCGTCCTCTAATAATTCATCCAACGCGTGGTTCAACCAAGGATCCACGGCTATTTAATTATCCAAGACTTTCTAACATCCATCAAACGTCGACAAGGCTTTTCGAGCTTCGTTAAAAGTATCAACGTCACAGGAAATCAATACGCGGAGCACGTTGCGGACACGAATTAATTAAAATGATTCGACCATCCCCGAAGATTCAATCGCGGCTCCTCGACTGCTATTACTTCCGACAAAATCGATTATACACGCTCGGAAGAATCCTGCTAACTCGGCAAAACGCAAAACGCAAGTAAATATACGTACGAAGTTCCTAACTGATACGTTCAGAAGTTCGACGGATTGTCTAAAATATCGTTCGGTTTTTAGGGCTACGGACTAGGAGGATTCCGTAAATGTGCGGATTCCTCGCAGAAGCCTAGAATAATGATCGCGAAAGAGGCACGCGTACTCAGCCGGGGCAAAGAGTAGTTCTTCCAACTTAATTCAAATTATCCGACGGGAAACGAGACGATCCCGCCGGACCAGAGAGAGAGAAGAGGGTTCCAGCTCTCGAGACGGCCGCTATACAACTCTGCCCGCGAACTCCATATCGAGCCATAGCGCGGCCCCTCGATTTTTTTAGGGGCCGCGTGTAATCAGCGAAATCCCGAGCCGCGAATCAATACCGTAGCCGTCCGCCCTCCGACCCTGCGCGCCCCTGCTGTTCCGACGTCCTTTCGATTTCCGAAACTTCCGCCTCATCGTCTTCGAGGTGTTATTGCCAGCCACCAGCCGTAGGCATTTTCATTTCCTAGCCCCGAATTTTCCATTTTCATCGGTTAGACGAGTCCCTAGCCCTCGTTCTCCACCCACCAGGGAAGGTTCAGGGGGATAGGCCAGCATTCCTCCATTACGCGAGAAGAACATTCGTTTACAAAGAATCCGGTCCCCGGAATCATTATCTCCAATCTTTTAAAATTCATCTTCCAGAGAGAGTTTTCATGGAATTATTCTTTTTTCTTCGACTTTTATTCGGATTGGTAAACTCCGGGAGTCTCGTCTTTAATTCCTTTTAAAATGGCGCCACGATTTTTTCTCTGCACAAAGTGTCGACCGTGCGATCCCCACGTGGCGCACTTTGTTGTCGCGTCAAAGGAGCCAAAATGGGGTTTACTTTGAATCGCGATAACTCCGTGTAAAAAAATCGTAGCCTCATTGAAAGAGGACGGAATTAAAGGCAATACTCTGGAGGTTGGCGTTACGTCGATGAAAGTTGAGAGGAAACGTTTTTTAATATCGCGCGTGACCTCAAATTTGAAGAATTTTTTAATGCTTTGATACGATCGGCTTGAAAGTTGCTTGGCAAGCATCTCTGGAGAAATCGCTCGATAGGATTGGGAGGCTGGGGGTTTCGAGCCTCGCGATGTTTCTCTTTTGCATCGTACGAAATTACGAAACTTACAAGTTCGCAATTGTTTGGGCGATTGCAAAGCGATCTTTCTATTTAATCGTATTTGATTTTAAAACAACGTGTATCAGTCCGACAATCTTTTTATCTTCTATGTTTGATTTTATCTTAAACTCGCGGAGCCTCGAAATCAATTACCGGAACGCACAGTTCGTTTCTTGGTCGAGAAATTTCGCAACAGCGACGAGAGCTACGAAGACCAGGAAGGTCGTGGGCGTACTTCCATGTTCGATGACCATCAATTAAGAGATTCGCTCGATGCAGATCGGCGTGCAACCGTTCCCGAGCCAGCAGAAACGCTGGATGGAAGCAAATCGAGCGTTTCCAACTACCCGAGTGCGGTTGGGAGGGCAGAAAAATTGGCGAAATAGATTTCGAGGCGACTGAACATCAACGAAACCATGATGATCCATTTTTCGAACGCGTATTGTGACGCGCGACGAGAAGTGGATTCTCCGCGACAATCGGAAACGTTCGACACAATGGCCTCGATCACCACTAGGCATCGAAACAGTTTCTAAGACCAAACGTGACAGTGATTGTGTCCACTTCAGTTTTCTAAATCGAGGGGAACTGAGAATCCAGCTTTGGTCAATCTTAAATCCTATTCTTCGTCATGAACGTCAACAGAGTATCCTCAAGAACATTCCTGGTAGCAGACTGAGTAGCTAGAGAACAATTTCAGGGGCTAGGATCAAGTAAATGTAATTTTTAAAAACTAATGAAATGCATCGATGTTCCATAGGAAGGGATTTGGGATAATTAAGCATCAAAGACTATCGAGGGTCTGAGTACAGCGATCAACTCGTGCATAAAGTGCGTGAACTGGTCGTTATCGATTCGAATGTGACATTACGAACGATGGCAGAGAAATTTGGCGTGGATTCTCGTTCGCGGGGGAGGCTGGAGAGGGATAAGCCGTAGTCCTCGCCTCGCTATCCGAGTCAGAACCGTTCCGTGGAGTTAGTCTAGCCAGCCTTTCACGAACTTCCACCTTTTTCGTCGCTCGATCCTTTTCCTAGAGATAGCCTGGCTCTCGCCAGATTGCACGCGATGGACAGATACAGTGGTCGGGTGGATCCGCCGTCGGTTAACAACGGTATGGAGATCCTGTTGGATTATCGGCTGCTCTTCCGGCCAGGAAAGGGCGCAACAAGACCGAATGGTATTTGTTAATGTTCCCGGCGTAAATGGCTTTTTGTAGGAACGGTCTTCCCCGCTCTGGATATCGAAGCTTCTCTATGCAACGTTTCTTTTTCCTCGTTGACCTGTTAAAAACGGGGACATGGCAAAAGTGCCGGCATTTAACACTTTTAGAAAGAAAGAACATAACAAGGCGCGTGTCTGTCGCTCGGAAAATAACCGAAGAAAGTCAAATAAAGAAGCAACACGATTCTACGTCGTTTATTCGCAAGCTTTAAAATATGAATTCGCTTCGCGAGTGACATTTGATAATTGGATCAACCTGTTCCTTTCGTACGGAGTCGAGACAAAAATCATTAAAAATCACGGAAGAACGTTTATAATATTAGGTCGTTACACCAGTTCAAACAATTTCCAGTTAGATTTCATTTCATTTCGAAGGTAACTCGGTTAGTAAAATTTTAAAGGTCGATCTTCGATTTCGGAAAGAAGCTAGGCAATTAATCGAAACGGAAAAGGAAACGAAACAGACGGTGCAGGAATCCGGAGATTGCGACTCGTTCCGTGGAACCTTTCCCATTCGATTCGTTGTCAAATCTGCCGATTCTTCCGGGCCGCCGGTGTCGCAGATAACTCGAGACGGGGGCTGGGCGCACGGCGACAAATCATATGTAACGCCGTTCGAATTTCGCGAAGCGTATATAAAATGCACAGGAGATAACTGACTGTCTGGACGGGCCACCCGAGACCCGGCATTTTTATTCGAGAGGACGCGCTACCACCTCCGCCCCCCACCCCCCCTTCCGAGTAATATGCGATCGGGACACCTCACGCTCCGGGATATTTACGCGCGAAGATGTCACGGGTGGTCCGTGTACATTTGAATTCACTGGAGCTCGGTAGATTTATATTACGGTTCCGGCGTCGACGAAACGAACTTCTTCCCTCGAAGTCGCCGTTTAAACGTTCGAAGGTGTCTTCGGGCCATTTTGAAAATGTACGGAGCGATAGAAAAAGTATTCCGAGACTTTGGAGAATCACTGGCTTCGTGTCACCCCCTTTAAATGTCGTCTGATTGGAAGGGTGCAGTTCTATACATTTCATCCCCTTAGTCACGAGTAACGAAATCATGTTGTGTAGAAACACTTTTTATTATATTTTATAGCACAGTTGGTGGAACTCGATTTTTTAAAAGGACATTCTCCGTCGATAATCGAATCAGAGTCGTCGCGAAAACCATTCGGAATTTGACATTTGTGTATTTTGCGTGGGAGGGACGTGGAAT